AGTTACCGTGATTCCTGCAAAAGCAGTAAAGGAAGTTTGAGAGAGTTGCTGCAGTTTCAAGTGGGTGGAAAATTGAGTTAATTAGTAGGTGCAAGGGAGGGCCAGATTACTTCCAACTCCCCTTCGTAATTACGGAGTGAATGTATCATAAATGAAGACTTCTGAATGAGGATTACTCCTATTTCTTTAGAATAGAATGAATGTCTGCCGTTGATAGAGAGAAGGGACTTTTGAAATCACATTGGGGGTGACAAGTTAAAATTCAGGATTATCGGAATGATTCTTGTGACAGTTAAGAATCCATAAAAGATTCAGTTGACGTAAACAGTGAGAAAAATGTATGGTCTAAATTACCAGAATTTGGTAAAATTTGCCGTGTTTCTGGCTCTATGGAAACTCCAAAGAGCTCGGTAACTTTCACCAAAGAGCGTTGGTAACTATTATGGTAAAATTAGTTTTATTTATAATAATTTCAAAACCTCAAAATACTACTACAAATCTCCAAATATCATAATATCCATACCAACATGCTTAGTTCGTGCGCATGCTATTTATGTGCTTCGTGTTCGCGGTGCAGTGAACCGTTCAGTGGCGTCACTTGAGTAGAGGGGGCTGGGAGAGTTTACCCAATACGCAATAATGGACACCGTTGGCAGATAGTCTATTTCATAACTGAAAGTTATTATAATACTAATTATAATATTTTTAAAATTTTTTACCCAAGTAAGTACGAATTAATGACGAAAGTTTGAAAATTAAAGATAGATTAAAGGCATAGCAAAAAGTTCTGCAAAACATTTTTTTAGCTTTTATTTACAGGAACTATAAGACTTGATTTTGTCTATTTTTTATTCTAGCTTTGTCCAGGGTCTCAAATTAAATTTTTTTTCTCCGATGGAAACTTAATAATCATGCCATGCTATTGAAGCGATGAAGAAAGTATATAAACTTCTGCCCAAATTAGCCTTGTTTTAGGGATGGTCATAAAATCTAAAATAAACCTTTAGAATCTGAATTTATCTTCAGTTTAAGAAAACTCTCTACTCTTGATTTGCAAATGCTGATTTCTCATTGATTTCAGTAGATTTTTATAGCCTTGTTTTGTGAAGGAAGATTCAATCTCCATATAAAGGGTTTCTTTACGAAAGCTTAGTGCGATCATCATAATCTAACATTTTTTTTAATCTTGCATGGTTATTTGCAAATTATTTATAAATCTTGTTGGGCTGTGTGACAAAGGTTGTTGCCGACTTCTGGTTTCTATCTGGGATAAGTCAAAATTAACAAAACTCTTCAATAGATATAGTAAAGCCAAATTCATTAAATGCTGTATCCCTTTTCGAAATATCCAAAGAACCAATCTCCTCTACAAAAGCAGGATCAGGTTTCTTTTATTAAAATGGGGAATTCTTTGCTTATGAATGTGTATAGTACAGCTGTATATGATGTGTGTAGAAATTTAAAAACAATGTATAATGAATCTTATAAATTCAAACTACGTAGTGCTTGAATTTCTATATGAATGGACACAGTCGTGTACGTTTGCAATTTTACGTAACAAAATAGAATGGTTAATACAGCTTTACGTTTTTAACGAAACAGAAGGGTTGAAATTATTAAGAACTTTATACTTAGACTTCTCTAAATATTCAAAGAAACAATTGCATATATATACTTTAATTTTATTATAACTACTGATGGACACTATTCAAAATTCTAATTTAAAGATTCATTTAAAAAAAAAATGTCTCACAACTTTCTCTTGACTTTACTGGATTTTTAATATAAGTTAAAATAAAGTAAAAATGACTATAATCATTAAATTTATGCTTTAAATTTTCTAAGTAACCACAGAACATATCTCCTATAAAAGCAGAACCAGGTACCAGTTGCTTTTATTTAGATGGCTAATTCTTTGCTTATAAATATGTTTAGGAAAGACATTGCGGAACTTAAACAAAATGCATAATGAATCTTCTAAATTCAAACCACGTAGTACTTGAATTTCGATATGAATAGCGGTATTCCTGTACAACTCTTACAGCTTTACCATTCAGCAAAGGGAATTCAAAAGTAGGAGGGTGGGAAAGAGCATAAAATTTGTATTTGTCAGAATATGCAATACATAATTCCGTAACGGGCAGTAAAGGGTGAGAGAGGAGTTGGTAGGGGTGATAGCACTCTCCGAAACAGCTGTTATTTCTCCCTTTTTCCTCTTATATTTTTTGAAAACGGTAGTTTCGCATCCGGAAAAATGTAGAACAATTTTCAGTTTTTTTCTTCTTTTTTTTAACTCATCCGTGTTCACTTTGTTGATATTTTTTTTTATTTTTTTGCAGTTCAGCGTTTATTGTTGGATAGAAAAATAATTTTGGGAAAAAAAGAATTATTGTTGTATGTCTAAGTAACATTATTAAGTGAATGGAAAAGGGAGGAAAAACTTGTTAAATAAAGATACGTTTTGTAAATAGGAGTAAGTTATCGAACCATTATCTTCAGTAAAAGTAATAACATAAAAATAGAATGTATATTTTGCATTTTTGTGTTTTATTTGTTAGTTTTGTTTCCTTTTACTTTATTAAAATTTCGTAATGAATGTATAATACACAGTTTAAAAAAATAATTAGTCGTGTAATGAATCAATTCTGAAAATAATGAGGTATTATATCTTTTAATATTTTTAACCACTGTTTTGTTAGGTTTTTATCAACTTTAGGTCATTTGCTGTTAACCTTTTATCAGAGAATTTAACTGAAAAAATATGTAAGCTAAATGTTTTAAAAAAAGATCTATATTTTTTGTTTTTGAGGAATATTTTTCTACGTTTTTAGTTATTTAGCTCTCGAAGCTATTTAATTTTAGTTATAATGTATCTAGAGAAGTAACTTATATATTTTATAAAATTACTACAAATATTAATAATTATAAGTTAACAATAATAAGTATACAAATATAATAATTATAAGTTACACTAAATATTGGTATGTTTTTTTTTCTCCTTATTTCAATGAAATCCTAGTTTTTAAGATGGGCAATTCTGGAAAAAGTATTTCTTCAGAAACTAAGACTAGGCCAATAAGAATATGCTACATACTATGTACTATGCTATGTACTATGTACAGTGCTAAAAAATGGACCTACCTGAATGACTTTAAATATAATGATCGGCTCTTAACGTTATAGGACACACTCGCAATAAATCAAAGAGTTGACATCAAATATGTTAATTAATTCGTCCAGACGAAATTGTAAGTTACAAAAATGTATTTTCTCTGAATAAACATAACTTTTTCTCGTAGGATATGGGTTTCTGAACCCTAAAATATAGTAGGTACCCCCCTATTAGTTTTTGCAAGGAATTATCTTTGGATAAACGTATTTTACAAATAGATATGATAAAATGCGAAAAAAAAATAGCATTAAGGGGACAAAATTTAAAGCACTCTCCAGATCAAACTATGGGGACCAGATTTTCTGTCTGCACTAATTATTTAGCATAATTTATGTCACCTTTCTGAACTATTAAAATTTAGTCCTAGAACGTTAAGATCCCATGAATTAATCTAAAGTTATTCAGGGTCAGGTAAAGTTATTTCTTTTTCTTGAGATCTGATCTTGTTATTTATTTATGTACATAGATGTATTAAAACCAGAGCTTAATAAATAATAATCACTTTAAAGATACAACAAAATAAATGCAAAACAATCTCGATAAGTATCAATTGCGAATCTACGAAAATCAAAAAACTGCGAATGTCTGAGGATGGCAGGCTACAAAGCATACGTTGGAATGTCCAATAAATATCAATATGTCCAATAAATATTAATGTATTTATTGGACAAAAAATATTAATATTTATTGGAATTTATTGGAATACATTAATATTTATTGGAATGTCCAATTGTCCTCCTACTGATGACCAACTTTTTCATACATAAAAGATGATACCCATTTTATTATACTACTAGCCGCTTAAGGCGGCCAGCTATCTGCTACGCTAAAGGTTTTCACAAATAAAGTTTTTTAAAACATAGCAGGAAATCTGAAGATTAGTGGACAATTAAAGTGTTCCTAGCTTACAATTTTGTCTTCATATCCAGTTCTGCTGCAGATGTGTTATAGCTCTTGAGGATGTTTGAAGATGTAACTTTGCTATGGTAACCTAAGGCCTATGGTAACCTAACCTATAACATAACTATCAGGTAGAGACTTGCTTTTTTTTAATTAAAAAAAGGCCTCAGAAATTGTAAAAGCATACAAAAGTTGCTTTCGAAATCATCATTGGCCAGTAGCTGAAAATTAAGACGCAGTTAATAACATATTTAAGAAACAACAATAAAATAAAACTTGTGTCAGTCAGCATACAGATAGTATATAATTCTTCCTATTCTTGTAAAACTTCCTTATAAACAATATTTCTAGTTTTTCCATTTGGTGCCAATAAATATAAGTTCTTTTCCTCACCAACTCTTGAGCAGCCAACATAAAGCTGTCCATGTGACAAGCAAGGCTTCTGCAAGTCAAGACTTACGACTTTTAAAGATTGTCTCTGAGATTTATTTATACTCATCGCAAAACTAAATCGAACAGGAAACTGAAGTCGTTTGAACTGAAACGGATTGTCTGAAGCTATGATGGGGATGCGAGGAATAAGCACACTATTTCCTGTTGAATGTCCTGTTATAATCATAGCTTCAATTACATAAGGCATCAATTTTTTCACAATCAATCTTGTTCCATTACACAATGCAGGTGGATCCAAATTTCTTAAAAGCATAATTGGTGCTCCAATTTTCAATTCTAATTTATGTGCAGGCACTCCAGGTGGTTCCAATGAGTTCAAAAATTCTGTCGGATAGTTGACAACTTGATCTATTTCCATGACAGCGTCGATAGACTTGTAAATTTCCAGAGCACCAGGTAATTTCCTTAAAAGTTTGTTATTTATCACGTTAACAATATCATTTGTTGGAGAAAGGATAGCTCTTTCGCATAGCCATTAAGGGTTGCAGTAATTTTCATGAATATTAGGAAAAACCATTTCTTTGAGTTCGTCGGTTGTGGCAACACGATTTCCAATATTTTTCAAATCTATAAGCCCTTCTTCATCACCACTAATATCACCATTTCCAAGTCTTAGAAGATTGTTGGCAAATTCCTGTTCAAAGACTTGTCCTGTTAAATGAACTCGTATATTTGTTTTCGGCCGCAGTCTTTGAACATTTGTCCAAATGTAAGATGACTTTATACATGCATGTATTTCATCTGCCTTTGTCGCACGTTGTATTACAGGAAGTGTTTGTCGAAAATCACCAGATAAAACTAAAGTTACACCTCCCATACACTTGTTGTTTTTTAAAAGGTCTTGCATAGTGATATCCAGGGCTTCTGAAGCAGCTTTATGTGACATAGTGCACTCATCCCAAACTATTAGTTTACATCTTCTAAGAACATCAGCTTTTAGTGAGCTTCTGGAAATATTGCAGGTAGGATGCTCGACGGTTGATAAATTTAAAGGTAATTTAAACACTGAATGAGCTATTCGTCCACCAGACAAAAGTGTTGCAGCAATACCAGAGGATGAAACAGCAAGTGCAATCTTATTTCTTTTGCCTCACTTTTGCTAAAATCAGATTTATGAGATAAGTTTTTCCTGTTCCACCAGGTGCATCCACGAAAAATATTCCACCGACGTCATTAAACACAGCAAATAAGATTTTTTCCGAAGCTTCCTTCTGGTCTTGAACCAGATTTTGCTCATTCGAATCAATGTATGATGTCATTTCATCTGTATTGTAATTTGTTGCCATCAAAATTTCTCTGTTTAAGTCAATGGTATCTGTTTGTTGTGGCAAAGGAAGTCCATAAGTTTTTAAACCAGAACCACCCAATTCTTTGAGCTTGTTTTCAAGAAGAATTAATGCCTGATTGAAGATGGCATCATCATAATTTAAATCCATGTCAGTACTTCTAATTCTGGCTTAGTGCAAAACATCTTCAGTCATATTTACTCTTTGTAAATTCCACAATTCCAGAGAGTTTGCAATAGAACATGTTTGCAGCATAATTGCAAATAAATTACGCAGCATTTCAGGTGATCGAACAACAGCAGCTTCATCTAACTTGCTTTTCCAATGCGAGTCATCTTCAAGAAGTCCTCTTACCTGGCAAGCCTGCTTAAATGTTTCGCATTTTATTTCTCCAAAAGTCTTTAAGTCATTGAAAGATGTAGGTCCGTGCACCTCATGAAGCAGCAGTCGAAGATGAAAACATTCGGAATTGTTAGGATGAATAGTGTAGACGCGACCAAGTGCATCACTTGATTTAATTCCTGGGTCTTCAGATACTGTCTGACCAGATTTCCGCCGAACCCACTTTTTGCTGCTTGCAGACCATGTATAATACTTTGGCAACTGATTATACAACAAAGTGCGAGCAAAATCATCGTTTTGACATAAGCTAAAAAAAGAAGTAAGTGTTGTGGCTGGTGGAGCTTGAGCTCTTTCCCGTGCATTTTCTGATGTGAAGTAAACTCGCTGGCCATTCTCTAAGTGTACACTTAAATGAACAACTGTTGGATGCCTTTCATGTATAGGGAAACCCAAAATACGCCACACTGCCTCATTGCTACTGATGTATCGTCCTATTTCATAATGCTGTACTTCATCATGCACACTTTCGTCGTTGGCAATGTTAAATACAGCCATATCAGATCCTTTGTTTACGTATTTGCAAACATATTTTATAGATTTTATCGAATTACAAAATTCCACATTAATATGGGCATTAAAAGTTTTTGACAACAATGGACAAAAAGGAACTACCCATCTATTATCAATAACAATATCAGAACTCCATACTTTTTTAACTGTCGTATAACCACCATCCTCTGGACTCTGTCGACGATACAGGGGATATCCATCTTCCCTTGTTTGTGTTTCTTTCGAAAAATTTCGAGGGTACCTCTTTGTTCATTTTCCATCTTTCATGCAAGGAGACTGTTGATTTAGGATCCCACAAGGGCCATGTATCATTTGTGTCGTAATAACAACATGCAAAACTGGATCAATTTCTGGATCTGGTATTTCTGCACTTATTACATTAACTATGCTATGAACATGAATTTTTTCATGCAGCCAAATTAAGATATGAGCATGTGGGAGACCACGTTTTTACCACTCTATTGTGTACATAAAACATTGAACAGAGACAAATACTTTTCCTTTGTTGATGAGAATCATAAGAGCTTTTTGTTTAAGATGGAAAACTCTTGCTAGCAAATCATGTCGATCGTGACTTCTCTGCCTAGGCATTAATTCATTGGTAACCTCCTGCCACTGTGGATTACATGTGAATGTAGTAAACAAATCAGGCTTCCCGTAATTTCTAACATATGTCATCCATCTTGAGTTCGTTCATACATGTAGCGTGGACCACCAGTAAATGTAGAAGGTAAAATTACCATTTTACCAATATCATGAACACTTCCGTCTCTGTTTAGGGCATCCTTGAGATGAACATACTCTTCAACACGTAGCTTCTTCTGGTTCAAGCGTGCAAACCTCAGTCGCTCAAATTTAATTTTTGCGAACATGTCCACAATAAATTGATTAGAAAGTCTCTTGCATCTTAAAATAATATTGAAATTTGCTGCTCGAAACATAATTCGATAGGCATAAAAATCCATGGCTGAAATTTTCTTAAAAGTCGGGAAGCCAGTAGTTGGGTTTACTTGCCTTAATTCAAAATGGTAGCCGTCTTCACCTTGCCAGAACATCAAAGGATACTGCAATGCATCATATGCTCGGTGTGTTTCTGCAATTTTTTTAATTTCATTACTTTTTAATTCCAATACTATATCTCTGCTACTGTTTACATCACCTGCAAGAATAACTGCCACCTCCGATGTATTTGGAGCATTAAATCGTCTTTCATGCTGACCGACAGGTGTTTTATCTGCCTGAATTATAACCTTTAATTCAGGAGTCATTTTCTCCATGGCCAATTTAAAACTTTTTGAGTAATTATTGTGTTCATGCAGCATTCCTTGCAAATTTGAAACTAATGCTTGGTTTGCTTGCAAAAAATTCCTGCAACGTTGTCCGAACTGCTTTTCCTGATCACCTACAAAGTATAATTGAAGAAATTTTGGCTTATCATTTATTTGTGTTTGTAGACTTCCTATTCTGTGGTACACTTGTCCCTGAACTTTGAAAGTAGGCATAAAGCCTTGTTCCCGAATTTCACTCCCAGATCCAAATGATGTCATCTGAAAGCATGAATTGTATCTTCTGATGGTACTTTGAAAATGTACTGTTTCAATTGATGAATCTGTTAACAATGCCAGTAGAGGTTCAGGAGGTGTTTGAAGCTCACAGAGCTTAATTTTTCCATTGCTACAACACATACTTGGTGTTTCACCTTTCCATTTTAATGCCTGGCAAAAAATGCATTCTGTTGCCATTCCACCAATTTTTATCAATGGATCTGATGCATAACATAAAGATGGGTTGTACATAAATGCAGAGTTTTCCTTGTCTTGCCACAAATGCAATCGAGCTAGGGATGTTGAAGCACGATTTTCTTCTAGCCTTCTTCGACGTTCCTGGGATGTTTCTCGGGTCCTTGCATTTCCGGTTGAGACACGATTATTTTCTAATCTTCTTCCGCGTTCTTCAGATGTTTCTTGGGCCCTAGCACTGCTTGTCGAAATTCGGTCATGCTCCATCCTTCTTTGACGTTCCACAGACGTTTCTTGGGAATCTCTTAATATCTTTTTCTTTGATAAAATACAAAGTTTTTGGAAGGCGTTTCTGCCATGTCAGTAATCGGGTTTTTAAGAAGTCAATGAATAATTTAGAACAATAATTACTATGAAAGCAAATCATGAAACTTGAATATTAAAATCTAAGTGCTTACCTGCAAACTGAAACTTTCTGAAAATAACATTTAATAAAAACTGTTAAAATTGCATTTAATAAAAACTGTTAAAATAAAGAATAGAAAAACCAAAGAGATCCAAGGTAAGTGTGATCGTTCCTTCAAAAACAATTAAATTCCTATTTTATATAGCTACAACGCTTAAGAAGAAAAAAACTAAAATGCTAAATACATGAAAAGAACACGAAAACGAATTAATTTTTTATGTTATCAATTTCTATTTCTATATAATTTTTTATGGTATCAAATTTCGATTTCTATATTGCTACAAAAATTATCGTCTTCGTTTAAGAAAAAAAAATAGAGCGGGGAAAGAAGAAGAAAAACTTATTATAACAATTATGAACAGCTATAAATAGTATTAAGTATTGAGTATAGTTAAGTGCGGTGAGCTCGCTGCTTATCGCTTATAGCTCAAATATACAAATATATCAAAGCGAAGCGTCCTATTTGCGTATCGAATATGTTGCCACATTTTTAATACAAAAGTTAAACTTTTCTCCACTTTGATAAATGTAAACTAATGCGAACCTTACAATTAAATTATTAATTCCTTCGTATATTATTGGTTTAAGTTGTCGAAAATTAATATTTCAATTGTAAGGTTCGCATTAGCATACATTTATAAGAGTGGAGAAAAGTATATGCATTTTTAAATAGTTTTTTGAATATTGCTCTTCGAAGACGAAAAAGCATAAATTTTCTTACAAAATGACTGATAACTAAAAAACTGTTCCAAATTTTTGAAAAAGAAAAAAAAATACTTCTTAATTATGTCACAACACAATCATGTGCCGAGTTTCGTGCCTGGGCAAGGCTTCTGGGGCGATATATTGTAATTACAGACACGCACACACAGCCGCGTTTATTATTATGTATAGAAGATGTTTGCATCATATAACAATACTGCGTTGATGAGTCGTGGTGGCTTAAGACATAGAGCGTTTGCTTCCCAATGAGACCTAGGTTCAAATCCCAACGGTGACTGGTTGATATGAATACTGCATCTGGCATGCACCAACCAAAGTGTTGACGTAAAGTATTTTTCGTGGAAGGTCGTGGGTTAGAATCCCCTTGTCGCAAGACTAATCACGGGAGGGGTTTGTGGTTTCCTCTCCATGTAACGCAAATGCGGTTTGTTTCCATCAAAAAGTCCTCCGCGAAGGCCAGTTTGTTCCAATGCTTGATCCAGGCGGTCCCTTGACTTCTGTGTTGACCTTGGCTTCAAAACTACCAGGCTTCGGAGTTGAACGTTTGTTGTCGTAAACTAAGAATTAGTTCAGCATTAGTTATAAAACAATACTACAATGATAAAAAATCGATTAATGTTCTTTAATTGCTGTTTGCTAAAATTATCTAAACTCAATAGTTTTCAAGAGAAATGAAGTGTTTTTTAAACGAGATCTTAAATGTTTCGTGACTACAATGGTAATATCCATTTTCGCACTGTAGCTAGTGAAAGCTTACTGTTTTCTCTCTGCTCTTTTCTCGCTATCTTCATATGTGTTTTATACTGTTTTTGGTTGTGTCCACCCTCTCCTTCGGCAAGAGTAGAAGTACCAAACACTTAAAAAATATCGCATATGATGCACCTTCTCTCGATTTTAAAGAAAAATCCTTTAAGTATTATGAATTCCGTTAGAGAAGGAATTCGGAACTGAAGTAAAAATAGTTAATATAAAAGTTTTTGTAACAAAATTTAAGTTATCTTCCAATGCATAATGGCTTATCTTTTTATTTATATTTAACTTTGTTTACAAAAGTTATTTAAAACCTGCCATTTCTTTCAAGTTCTTTCCTTATCTTAAACTGCGCAAATCGTCTGTCACTAATTCACCTATTACTTGTAAAAACATAAATAAAACATGAATTTGATAAATTATTAATTTCTAATGATAAAATCATCTTGCAATCTTGTAAATAAGTTTTATAACAAGGCTTTTATTAATTCATAGTCAAAAAAGGAAAAAAAAAAATCAATAATCAAAATTAAAAAACTGTAACTTATATTAGTATATTTATTCACACGTCTAAAAAGTGAAATTTGATGTAAGAGTACCATAAATTTGTTTCTCTATCATATTAGAAACGTGAGAACCCATTTTTAAAATTAAGTAGGTCTAATTTAATTATTATTCTTTACGCATTAGATTAAATTAACATTACAGAGCATGTACCTTATTTAATGCCACCAAACAAATTTTATGCTAATTTTTTCCTGGAATAACGAAACAAATTAATGTCTAACATAATTAAAAAAATAAGAATGTATCATAAGACTTTTAATTCGATTTTACCCAACTACTGTGAAGTTACTTCGTAAATAAAGTAAATTAATTTTTCGAAGTTCTCATGGAATAGTTATAAATTTATTCAAACTGCTTATTTAATGCAAACTGAAAGTTAAAATATTAAATGAGAAATAACTTATAAAAATAAGATGGAATAATCTTATAAAAATAAAATAGCTTAAGTTTTCCTAGCAACTTGTGATTTATAAGTTATAATATTTGATAATGGTCTTAACTTTAAATAATTGTTTATGCACTGGAATTAATTTTAAACTAGCATTGTTATCTTTATTATTTAGAGTTAAGTGCTGTTTTAACTATCTTTCAATTCTTCCATTCCTTTTTTTTAAAAACTAAATATTAGATATATTAGCTTTGTGCTAGAATCCTATGCTTAGTCTTAGACTTAAAAAATAGAAAGAGTTAAAGGAAGGACTTCTTTGTAGATAAAATTGTATAATGCACTATTGATTACT